ACCTTTAACAGAAGTTATTTGGACAATAGGCATATGGTATAATACCCAACATTGTGACTAGTTCTAGTTTCACCTCTACCTTGGAGCTGCGTGGCTGTGAGTGGTGGCATACTGGATCCCACTCCCGGGTTTGTCACTTTACTGGAACAGGGACCTAAAGCCTACATCTGGCTCTGCATTATGGACAACACCTGGTCCTACAATATGAGCCAAGTGTTGCCTGTAAGCAACCCTTATGGTGGGTAGAAAGTATTGTGGTAAGCAGAAAGTATTATGGAGAGCTTGGCTATCCAAACATAAATGCTACATGTTTTCACATTATTTGACAAAAAGTATTTTAATAAGCAAGCACAAACAAATAGCAGAATGTTAATTGGCTTGGGACCTGGTTATCTAAAGGATCGCTTGCGTCCATATATGCCACCCCGCCCCCTGAGATCGGTGGAGGAGGCCCTTCTCCAGGAGCCCTCTGTGAGGGATATTATGAGGTTGAGTACCCGGAGGAGGGCCTTCTCTGCGGTGGCGCCCCACCCATGGAATGCACTCCCCAGAGAGGTCCGCCTGGCGCCGTCGTTATTTGTTTTTCAGCGCCAGGCCAAGACCTTTTTATTTAAATGTTATTTTGATTGTTATTCTGTGTTTTATTAAATGGTTTTATATTATTGCTGAGAACTCCAAATTTTTAATATTGTTCTATGCTTTGTTTATTTGTTTTCCTTGTGAGCCACCCCAAGGCTTTGGTGATGGGTGCAGCATAGAAATGTTATAAATAAATAAATAAATAAATATTAGTAGTTTCTTACCTTTGGATTAAAAAAAATGGTCAGAAAACCTATTGATATTTTAAATGAAGGGAAAGCATTCAAAAAATTCTTTCAAAGTTCACCCAGAATGTCACTATGAATTAACCGTTAGGGCTAATTCAAGCATTACATTTGAAACTTGAGGAAGCAAGATTACGTTCCCTGTCATTGCTACTGGCCTTTAAGAAGGGGGCCCTAGGGAAAGAAGAATGGAATTTTGAAGAGAAAAGCATCCAACAGAGAAAAGGAGAATTAAATTGACTTTCCTCTGTAGCTTCCTGAGTCTGCTTTTGATTTTTAAAAATATTGAGGGATGGATGCTTGTGATTCAGGGTTGCAAGTAAGTGATTATGCACACTTTTGTTGTAGGGTTTGAAGTTTCATTCAATATAATATGTAATGTTGGCTAAATATCCTTCAGGAAGAAAATAAGGACTCTTTTGCTATTATTAAGGAGTACTTGAGGAGGTGTCAAAGCCTTGTGCAAATCCCAGGAAAATGAAATGGGCTTAAGCAGAGTACTTTAAAGAGCTCTGTGGAAAGCTATGCTTGTATATATAGCAATATGAAATAACGGCTAGATTTATCCTGAATGGATTCAGCTTCCTCGGAATAACCAGTAGTTATTAATGGCAATCCCTGCTGCTCCTGGCCTGAGGCGAATGTAATAGCTTGGTAATAAAGGCTTTGTCCAGATAAAACTTGCCAAGTTTTTTAGAAGCAGAATTTGAATCTGTGTGATGCAACCCATCAAATTTGAAACAGCCCACAACTCCAAACACAAGTATGTACCTGTGTTCAAAAGCAAATCAAATGAAAAGGTTACCTTATTTGTGCTGATGGGATTCTTGTTTAGCTTCTCTTCAGTTGCCTTGAGTGCTGCATCAACCTATTATTCTTGGACAGAAAAGGAAACTAGAAGGAATATGTTGATCTCAAGAAGCAGAAGCTACCACCAGTTTCTATTTCAACATGGCGTCAGGTCTTTGATATTCACTACAGGGTGTTCAGGTGTGGTGATGGCTTGACTCAGCAGAGGAAACTTGAGTCAATAAAGCCTTAGTTGAAAGCTGCATCAAAATCTGGAAGGAGATGCCCTTATTAATGACACCTTTGTACCCAAACTTCTATTGGCTCATCTTGAAGGAATTTTAAAGACTGGATGCAGAAGGGAAGTGGCAGCGATCCAATATCAATATCAGGCATAGAGCAAAACCATTCTCTAAATCATTCCCATTTTGGCCCAACAGCTACATGTGATGCTGTCTTGGGAGGCAGGAATTGTACATACACTCCTTCATGTGCACTTGCATGCATGTCCCAGTGTTCTCCTTTCTTTTCCTTTTATTATAGAAGGAGATTGGCAAGTTTTGCAAAAGTTTTGTGAAAACACCGCAGCAGCTCTGGGGCAGCCAGAGAGCAATCAGGAACACCTGCAGGTGTCCTGACCAGTGGGATGCTGCATTTAAGGTTGTGCACCCCTATGTCATGCCCCTGCTGAAGAGTTGTCTTCTTAGGAGAGGTCCTAACTTCCCCTGAGGATGAACCAGAAGCAAGGCTTCAGGTTTACCCTAAGAAAGGAGTCTGGGCCCTAGGAAAGCCCTTCCACAAGGTGGCTTCAAGTCTGATCAGAAGACAATGCAATTGCCCACCCTCCCCTTCCAGTTGTTGATGAAGTTTTTAACTACAGTTTTTCTTTGCTCAAGTCTCCTGCTGGGTCAAGAAATCACCCCAATTGAACACTATGTATTAAGTATCAAAGGCCTGCAGCCATGTTGAAGTAGAAAATGAAGTGCCTGCCTGCACCAAAAAATGAAAGCATGGGTTTTCTCACAGGCAGAGTGCCAGGTTGCAGTCTAAATCCCTAAAGAGCTGCAACTGGGGGCTTCGTTGGGCCCCAGGCTGCTTCCATTTAAGAAACTCACAAGCATACTAGTGAGTTGCTGGAAAACAGCATCTCTTCTGGCTACCAAATCCACACACCTTCTTTCTGTGTGTCTGCAACCGTTGCTCTGGCCCAATTTTCGTGTGTGACCTTGGGCTTCCTTGGACTGTACTGTGCTGAACCCTGAATGGAAAGTGTACTTCTAATTCTTGCTGGCTTCATTCCTGAACTGCCCGGCCATTCTTCTGCCTCTCTCCTAAAACTCAGCTATGGTGATCAAACAACCTTGGGACTATCTTCAACGAACTGTTCTTACCGCCAGCTTATTTCCATTAGCAATTCAGTCGGTTGGTTGGTTTCTCAGCTGGACCATTATTTTGTAATTCAGGCCAGATCAGAACTGGACACCTTGTTCAGAATTTCAAATTATGCCATTTGGATGCAAAAGTTTCCAAGAATATGGAACTGTGCCAGAAGAGACAAACACCCTAGGGATTTTGGCACTGCTTGTATCAAAAACCTAGAAGTACTACTTCAAGGAAAACAGTTCCATTTTTTATATATCTCTTGCCTAATGTAGCAGAAAATCAGGCACCAGAGCAATCCTAGCTTAAAACAATTTGCCATGCAGAAGGGTAGGTGCCTGAAAATACCTCTGTAATATAGACATGCTGTCTAAAAACCACCAGATCACTCCAAGATAAGATTTTAAAAAATAATTTTATTAAAAATTTGGCAGGAAATGTTTGCTGTTGGGGTATGTTTCTGTAACTGCTCTTTTTGGAGGTAGATTACTTAAAGTTAATAGAGTAGTAAAGAAAATGAGACATGGTGTTCTATTCTTTTATTTCTTCATAGGTTAAAGGGAAAGTGGGAAGAAGTGGAGCTCACTAACAGAATAAAACTTCAGGGATTTGAACTTGTGACCCTTCAGATGTTTTGGTCTACGCCTCTCATCAGTCCTTACCAGCATTGCCAGTATTGAAGAGAGTTGTAGTCCAAAACATCGGTAGGGCCAGCAATTGACCAACATGACTGCTGTTCTTTTGTTCACACTCTACAACAGAACTCTACAACTCTTAACCTTTTTGGACATTTGCGCACATTTAGGCATTTGAGAGACTACTGGGGTGATCCTCACAAAATGCCTAATCAGTGAACTGGCACCTACTAGTCATGTATACAGATCCACGGTTGCACCTTATTCAATGAAAGTATTTGTTTCATGCATATTGTATACTTCAATGTCTCTTTAGAAAAGGATTATCTAATAAGTCCGATGTTACACAAATAAATACTATTGTACTTAAATTAGGTGATTCTTGAATGCCCAGCTATAAATCCAATAGTCCATTTACAAAAGAATTGAACATTTCTAGCAGGACCCCAAGAGTGCCTTTTTGTATATCTCTGTTCAAAAGTTAGAATGGTTGAGTTCATTCAGACTTTAGGGAAGTGCTTATAAGTTCATAACTTTAATAAGTTAAGGCTAGGTTCCGGGTCATTTTCATGCTGTAAATTCTGTTTTCAGAAAACCAGAACCCCTTCTCCTTCCCTTCCTTGAATTCCCTACCATCTATCTAAAATCTTTATTCAGTCATGTAAAATCTACTTTAGTAAAAATAAGAAGTCAGCATGTTTCATATTATTTATTTAAATCATTTTTATGCCTTATTTATTACAAGAGTTAGCCACAGCAAGGGTAAGGCATCCTATTCAAACACAAATGTAAATATCCAAAGTATTTGCTTCATGAGGATACAGTTAAGAGTGCACTGAAGGAAAAACAGATATTTTAAAATGTGGGCTGAAAAGATTGCTGGTATTATTTATTAAGGTAAGTAAGATTCTCATGGATTACGCATTTTCTTTTTTCTGCAGTTGTGTGGTGCAAAATCATTTTCATCAGCTTGTTATGCTAAAAGAATATACAATTACTTGCCTACTGTGAACCAGTGTCCCTTTTTGAAAACATGAATGCATCCTATGTGCAAAATGAGTTTTCCAAGGGCTGGTCCGTCTATACATATTTGTCACTTGATGACTGTGCAGCAGCACTGCATGCTAACTTTGATCTGTGAATGAGCCATCCTAGATCCAGCACCACAGATGGAACTTGTTATCACCCCCTGCATGATGCTTACCTGTGTTGTTTGCTCACATGTTCAGTTGTGAGCCATCAGGTACTGGATAATGAGAAATCAAATAATGTGTGAATTTGCATCAGGTTTCTTCCTTTCTTCTGTGTTTCTGGACTTAACTGTATTTTAACATGGATAATGCACTTACCTGATTTTTTTCCTTCTTCCTAGATCCAAGCCAAGTACCATATACAATATGAAAATATATTCTTTCTATGTAGAGTTTTGGAACAGCTTCTTAAAACGGGGTTAGAAGAGGAAAATGCTGCCAGTTCAGGTTGTGATGAAGAACAGAAGCAGTTTCTGCAGAAAATTGATCAAGCTATTTTTCACCTCTCCGATGAATTCCCTTTGTTCTGTATTTATCTATGGCGACTAGGTACACTTCTAAACAAATCACAAATAGAAACATGTGAAAGAAACTGGCCCCCTTTATAGAAATTTGTTATCAAACCATGAAAGAAGCAAACTGTGAGTGACCATTGTTCACAAGTGAAAGGAGGAATATTGTCACAAGAAGCATGAAATTCAGTAGCAGCTGTAATGGATGCAATTTCTTCTTTTGGTTTGCATGGGTATGTGTTCGGTCATTTTGCAGTGATAATTGTCAAGGGTTTGTTGGTGTGGCGGGAATTTGAGTAATCTTGTTTTTAATACAGTACTTGGATTAAGCAAAATTAGCTCTGTTATTAAAAATTAAAATATTCATTAAAAAGGACAGTGCAGTGTGGAGCTCAAAATTAAGAGCTTAATTATGAACATTTTAAAAAGTGTGATCTGGCAAAAAAAATAAACATTCGGTTTGTTTTAATCCATTGAATAGTCATCTTAATTGGAAGCAATTATTTGAGGGGGCAATTTTTCCTCCCACTAGCATCAACATCCTTAGGTGTACATAGCATTTTTCAGGGAAGAGTCTTGAAATAGTTCACTACTGAGGGTACTCAGCATGTTACGTACCACCCTTCTAGTACAATGGCTAGGCACCTCCAGAGCTTAGAGGAGCGTGCATTGCCCTTGGAAGGAAGTTTCCAATATTGGAGGATTCCACATATCTAGGGCTCTGCCAGGCTGCTTCTGGAAGGTCAGGAGGAACAATCGAGGCAAGTTTTACTTTTGCATTATCCTTTAACAAAATTTCCTCTAGACAGGCCTGTGTGCCTCTCTAGTGATAATGTATGGCCAGGGATTTGGCTGAAGCTGGATTGGCCAAAAGATTTCTCCTATCCCAGCCTCTCCTCTTCCCATTCTACCCATAAGAATCTCTCCTCCTTTTCCTCCAAGACTGTGTTTTTGACTTTAGAAAGCAGCCACTGCAGTTCTTTTCACTGTGGCCAAAGGGGAGGAAGATCAGAATTTAAAATCATAGCATGTCTACAGTCTCAGGTGAAGATCGCCTAACAATCCAGTGTACCCGAGGATGCTTTTGCAGAAACCATAGGATTGCTCCCTCAGAAATCAGGAGTAACAGTCTTGAGTGAAGACTGCATTAGTCCAGATGAATGGGATGTATAGGTTTGCAGACATATAACTGTTGTTCAACGGATTGACAGGCCTATAAACAGCTTTCTAGTTTTATGTTACAATTATTTCCTTTTGCTGTGTATTCTAAAAAGTGTTGAATACAAATACTTTAACTCATACATATTATAAAATCATGGATACATAAATATTAGTACCAAAATAATATTGAATCATTCCAAGTAATAATCAGAGAGTAGGGCAGAAAGAGAAACTGAATAAATATGGCTATACTGCTGTTCCTTTTCAAACTTAATTACTAGATAAGGTATTGTTGTCCAGATCATCTGCTGGTGAGCAAAAGAGAAAAAAATGAATTCAAAGTAAATTTATTTTTCTATAACGTATTCTGTTCTTGAAAAAGTCTTTCAGGGTGCTACAGTAATAGTGCATAATAAGTTATGTTTTCCATATAGAGGCAATCTGTCCACCTTTACATGCAAATTCCAGTCATCAATGTGTTGGGGTTTGTTTGTTTTTCAAAATAGACCTTTGGAGAATGTTGACACACACATACAAACACAGAGAGACACTTGAAAAGCATAAAACATAAGGATATTAGAAGTTCAAGTAGCAGCACTGGATCAAAAAAAAAGAAGAGTTTACCCTTTCTTGCCCTAGCAGTAAATATGTTGGTGCAGCCACACCTTTGAATGGCCTACATATAGCTAATGAATGGAAAACCTTTGCTAGTCCTGACAGCTTCTGTAACCAATAGAAGCAAATCTTGTCTCTTGCCACAATCATATGGAAATGCTGCTTGTTTGTGGCAATGACTACTATCTCTTCTACACCTTACAGCCAAACTTGCAGTACAAGAACCAGAAACTGAGATGACTCAGAAGAATTGTGGATAAGGCATTGTTCTGTGAGTGGCTACGTTCAGGATTCCTTGAACATGCTCACTTCTGATACAAAGGCACAACACTATTAATGCAATAAAAGATTGCGCAAACCATTCGTTCAGTCGTTTGTTTGAATTTCAGGTGCAGAGACCCTTTTCCAGCCTGGGGGTTTGTACCCTTTGCATCCACCGAAGTCTTGATCTTCATTAGACCACTTCATTGAACCCCCTGCTAGTTCTTAGAGTAACATTTTTATCCTGTCTTTCCTATGTGGCCCAACTCTTTTATCTCATGGGGTCGTTTAGACCTGAGGAATAACAAATGGCCCAAGATTTCTAAGTAAGCTTTGTGTTTAAGTGGGAAAATGAACATGGATCTTCCTGGTCAGAGTCTAGCACTATAGGAACTTGGTGTATTGGTCAGCTCTTACAATGAAAATTCACCAGCAAAGAAGGGACAAATGAACAGATTCTGTAATAAATTGGAGATAAATAATTGATTTAAGTTTGCAGTCTTTTTCTAAAAAGTATTCATCAAATTCTTTTTTCCCCACAATGTAAGCCTATATCCGAAAAGATAAGCCCACCCAGTTTAAAAACGTTAATGTCAGTGGGTAGTCCTGGATCACATGACCAACTGCTAGAGAACCTCCCAGCTTCTTCCTGCCTGGGATCACCTGGTTGTGGCGTTGTCCTTTCTTTCAAGCCACAGATATCCACAGACAGATCAGAGGGGTCTCCATTTCTACATAAAGTCAGCTGACCAAGGTGGCTGCAGTGGGTAACAGCCAAAGGGCTTTGACCATTTAAATCCTCCCACACACATCGCTGTCCTGATGATCATGGCAATTGAGTTGACCTGTAGGACAGAAGGCCGAATAGAAGAATAGGTGCCAGCCGAGAAGTGAACGGTGTCAGAATGAATGACAACTGGGGAATGTCAGTTAAGAAGTTACAGTTCAAAGAGGCAGAAGAGTTAATGGGATCAGAGAGAGGGAGGCATAGGTAAAAAGTGGTGGTTAGGAATGGGGGAGAAAGTTACTCGGATCACATTTCAGTGTGAACCTGTGTACTTCAAATTTCCATAAGCAATACATGAAACAAAAGGCAATTATTTTCAAACTTTTCTGAATTTAAATGCATGGAATCAGAGAATGTTTACAAAATTACATATATGAGGGAAGGAATGCACACAAAACATGTATTTGTGGAAGTAGCATACAGTATGATTGTGTTTTCATATTATTTGTTTGCAAAAATGTGCATAGTGGGCAAAATTGACACACACATGCACGTAAAATGCATGTGAACTTTCTTGATAATTTAAAGAAAATGGCAAACTAACGCAGAAATGAACAACATGGATTTAAGATTGTGAAATGGGGAAATAAAAATTGACCCATTCATCCATCCGCACTGGCTGTTGAAAAGGAAAGCCCGTAATGTTTGATTAAGAAATCAAGTAACACTGTAGCTTCTCTATTCTTTCTCAAATGTCTCCTTACCCTCAACCTTAGGTCCCATAAATAAATACATATTTATTGATTCAAATGTTTTCTGCCCTTGGTGAATTCTAGAAATAACATTTCTCACTCATCAATGCTACCTTTGATATACACAGTCAAGCATGCAGGCAGAGTCCTGCGGTTCTGTGTAATTCAGTAGGTGGTGACAGGGCTTTATTTGGATTATGATAATGGAAAATGAGTCAGTGAAAAGGTATGCTGATTTTTACTAGGATGGAATGAGAGAAATTTATCTGGCTTGTTTAGGTGGCAATTCACCTTGTTAGTTCTGGATTTTACATTCTTACTGATAATACACTTCATTGAATCCCCCTTTCCTAATAATTGCTTCCATTTAATGTTTATTTTTACTTAACTATTTTTGATAATTAAACTTAGTAAATGACAACATAATTAACACAGAAGGAGGGGTGTTTATTACCTAGCCAAGTCAATGACTTTTTTCAGATAGCTCTTGAGTTTTTATAGGTAAAGAAGTTAATTAGCCAAATTTCTTTCACAGAATTAGGATGGGTTACTTCTGACCTATTTTGTCAGTACATAGCCATGATCTAAAACCATTTCTCCCTTATAATGAGAGGGTTGCCTGTACTGTGAGTGGGAAAGCCAGTTAAAATTATAACTTCAAGGACTGCATGCCAAGCCAAATTTAACCTACCAGCCTGCCAGATGCTTCTCAGTAAAGATAATGCAGGAATTAAATGAAGTTGTTAAAACCATAATGATTTTCAGCATTTGTAAGCCATGGTCAGGTGAGGCATAGAAGTGGAAAGGAATAAATAAATAATAAATAAAAGTTGATAGTGCTTAGTAGTAATTACAAGTGACATGTTCTGTCCAGTTCCAGTTTGCCTTCTTTAAAATATTTAAAAGTTTTAGAGAAGTGACAAAATATTAGAGTGTTTCCTTACTCATTCAGGGTTCCAGTCAGCCATGTCCTCCTCCAAGATATCCCCCTTAAGCTGCAAGCATCATAACAGAGGTAGCACAGAGCCAGTATGGCTATCAATCACTGGAGGCCACCATCATTTCCCTTGGCTGCAAATTCCATAGTTTATATGCTGTATAGAGATAAAAAGAGATAGTTCCTTTTATTTGTTCTAGACCTGCCACCGATCAGCTTCATATCAGGGTTCAAACATAAAGGAGGGTGAGAAAAAAATTCTCCCTCTCCACTACACCATGAATTATTTTAACCACTATCATGTCTCCTCTTGCCTTTTTATAATCTTAGCAGTCCTAATTGTTGCAGCTGCTCCAGGCCACTGATTATTTTAATTGCCCTCCTTTGTACTTTTTCCAACTCAGTAATGGCTTTTTTCAGATAGGGTGATCAGAATTGATCACAATATTCCATGTGCAGTAAGTAAGGGCAGTAAGATTCTGGCAGTTCTATTTTCTAGCATGGAATTTGCTTTTTTCACAGCAGTTGTCCACTAGGCCAGCATTTTCATCAAACTGTCCACCACTAACCCAAGATTCCTTTTTGCTCAGTCACTACTAGAACCCAGAACCCTTGAACCAGCACTCTAACCACTACACCACAC